GGCTAAGGATATAAATGCGTGTATTTATATTAATGTTCAATCTCCATTTCTCTACAATTTTGGATTTTTGAAAAAAAATTCATAATATTCAGTGTTATCAAAAATTTATGAAATTATCCTATTTAGTAGTAAATGAGATGTAGCCATGTAGGTGATGAGCACGTGGAGGTTTCTAGATATATAAATAAATTGGATTCACTAAAAGAGGGAGATCATATTGTATACAAATATTATTAGTTCATTAATCACAAGAAAACATTGTAGAATTTAATGAATTATATAATTTTGATAAGATAGATTTAGGTATACATTTATTAGCTCATGATTTTTTGAAAGAAGGAAAAAAATATATAGTGTTTGATTGGTAACAATTTACAACCATTTTACAATTTGTAACGTGTTAGATTATACAAATCATAAAAGCGATACTAAATTTTTTGTCAAAATTTTTACACTTAAATTTATTTGTAGATCTTTTTCTTACATCTTTGCATTTACAATTGAAAATCTTATACTGCTTTAGTTACAGATCCATTACTAAATTTGTCTTTATTTGTGGATGAGAAACGTTGTTTAAACGAATCGGTGGAAAGATATACAACTTCAAAAGTTTTAAAATATTTGTTTCGGAGCAAAATAATTTATTAATAGAAAATGTCTTCTTTCTTTTGTCAACAACATAACTTAAATTATTTCTTAAAAAAACCATAACTTAAATTACGATATTTTTTTAGTTTTGATGATTAATCCATCAAATGTAAATTTTCAGATAGATCAAACCCTGATAAATATTTGCCCAACCAATATTAGCTCGAAGTTGTGTATATGATGTCACATTGTCACTGGCTTTGGCACGCACCATTTCGAGTTGCTTCATCTCGAATGTGCATGATCTCCACTACTACTTTCCATGTTGTTTGATGATCTTCCGCCCCTCCCGTCTGGTACGTTGCATGTTCTAGTGCTTGGATTAGTAGTAATTACAATGCCGCTTCCATGAAAATCGCAAGCGTTATCAGATTTTCCTTTGCTTTGGTAATAAGCGTTCATGACATAAGTGGACCGAGTCCACATCTCGTTGTTGTCAAAACATATTCCACCAGGTGAGATTGGTTTACAGTCGATACCATGACTACACACCCAATCAATATTTGCTTGCAATTGTGTGGTTGTGGCCTCTTCTTTTGCCACACACCATTTTCCACCACCATTTTCACTACCTACCACGTTCGGTACAACGCATGTACTAGTGCTTGGGTTTCTAGTAGTAACCATGCCACTACCGCGAAAATCACAAGCAGTGTTCGTATATCCCTTGCTTTGGTAATAAGCGTTCATAACAAAGGACGACCGCGTCTTGATGTTATTGTTGTCAAAACATATTCCACCAGGTGATATTGACTTACAATCAATACCTTGACTACACACCCAATCAATATTTGCTTGCAATTGTGTGGTTGTGGCCTCTTGTTTTGCCACACACCATTTTCCACCATTGCTCGGTGGATTTCCACCATCTCCTCCTCGGTATTCACCTTTTAGGACTCCAACATCATAAACCGGAGAAAAATCTGGTTTGAATAGCCCCCAATTTCTCTCAGAGGTTAGACCGGGTTTACCATCCTCATTAAACAATGCGAATATGTGGATATCGATGTGGCGATTAGGCATGAGAGGTGTTCCTATAACATTTTCACGCTTGATGATGTTAAGATTGTAGTTTGCAGCGTTTTGAGGCGTGCACCATGCTGCGTCACAAGCGCTAGGCCAACCGGTCTCTCCTACAACGATATCTACATCGCCATATCCGAGAGCATTCATAGCAGAATACGTTGCATCCATGACCGCATCGAACATGTTGTTATAGGTGTGTTGTGTGTTAGTATCCTGTATACCATTTGACGGACCAAACATTGCATAGTTGACATTGTTCGGATCCACCATGAAATAAGTGTAGGCGTTGATCATGAATGGAGACATAGCTTGGCGATGGAATTCCAAGATCTTGGTAAAAAAGTCTTTGTGATCGTTGTTAAATATGCTATGGCTTGGTGCATTTTGGTTATAGTCTATTATGGTAAACGCATGTGGAGTTGTCACCTGAAAAACAAATATGAATGGTGAATGACATTACATCGTGTATGATACAGTATAATCTCGATAAATTAATAACTCGATAAATCAATTTTTCCAGTCATAAATTGATTTTTCGATATAATTCATATATTTATAAATTAATAAGATATTGTTAAGACATTATTAATTTATATAATTTTCACTCTAGTTATAAGTTATAACATACAATGTATATAAATTTTTCTTATAACTATAGGGAGATCATACCAAAGCTAATCTCTCGAACCTATTGAACGCTAAATATTTTGTATCATTTAAAGCATTTACAGTGGTAAACCATGATTGAAATCTAAGTAGGAAGACTACCGTATAACTTGGTTAAACAACAACGTATTTTATTTTAAGTATAAAGATATTATTATCTAATATGTATAAAACATGATAGATATATCATCATGACTTGAGACTAACCTTCATATCTTTGAGACCGGAAGTTTTCAAAGCTTCGTTTAGACTTTGCATGGCAGGAACAAGATTCGAGATCAAGTTTTCATCTTTACCGGCAAGAATCTCGTTGCCTACACACACGTATTTGATCTTGGTCTGCTGGTGAAACGGCAAGAAATTGGCAGCGACCCATTGACGAGCGTTTTCAACGTTAACTATCGCCGGAATGTTACCGTTAGGGACCATAATAGTGACATTGATTCCGGTGCCTGCGAGGGCTCGTAAAATATGGGGATTCGCATCAAAGATCTTGACACTGTCGAAAATGGTATTTTTCTTGATGAAGTCCACCACTTGTGTCGGTGGTGGAAGGTTCCCTAATGTTCCATAGTTGATACCAAAGGCAGAAGTTAGGGCTGAGAGTTGGAGGATCACGACGGAGACTAGGAGGAGGAAATGGAGAGTAAGAAACCGTGGTGTTTTGGCCATTGTTTTTGTTTGGATAATAACATTATCCCTAGGAATGATATATAAGTGTGTATTTATAATAATGTTCAATCTCCATTTCTCTAGAATTTTGGATTTTTGAAGTATATTTTCTATAAAATCTAGTGTTATAAAAACAAATATTTATGATATTATCTTATAAGTAGAAGTTATATGTAAATGATGAGCACGTTGGGATTTACACTACAAAATATTATGAAATGTGATGTAATATAGAAAAACCGGCCGGAAAGAAATCGTGCAACATTTAATTATTGAAAGTAAATAAGTTAAAGAC